GTCAAAACTGTGTGCTCTACTGGTAGACATTGGGATCGAATGCATATAAACCGCGGCATGCGCCTTAGTGAGCGCTACGAGTGTAGTGCGTTACAGTGTCGTCTGTGGCTGTGTGTGTGTGTGTGTGTGTGTGTCGACGCTTATTCTGGCACTACAGACCCAAGGACCCAAGGACGGTGAATAATGAATCCCATTGCCACGCACCATTAGGGATTGCCACACTGATGAATGACATCGTAATGAGAGTTGTGTTAATATTTATATCTGAATAGACGACCTCCACCATAAACGGTAACATCGTGTCGTCACTTCCATCGGCAGAAACGATCTTGCCATGGGGGATGCTAAAGAGATAGCTCATCTCTGCAACTCTCGCTACGATTTTACCCTCGAAACGAATGACATATTCTTCCACGAAGAAGACGCTCTCTGCAGGGAGGTCGTCATTTGGGGGGTCAGTCACGTTAGAGACGAGAGGAGAGAGGGTCCACTCCAAGATGAGAAATGCCGGGGAGAGGGCAAATCCCGTAACAGTTGGCGCGGCTCCTGAGTTCAAGAGGGAGAGGGCAGGGGAGAGGGGGAGGAGGGAGGAGAAAGATTGAGGGAGAGAGATGAGGTATTGGGAAGGGGGGAAATACGAGACGTACACGGACACCATTTAAAAACCCAGACCGACTTGATTGGTCCCACATAGGAGTGTATCTGAATGCTGGATCCCACAACATGGTAGCATCGACAGAACGTTATATGTTGTGTACCGTGCAACTGTGAGCAACTGCGGCATGACGGCTGTGGAGTGGTGTAACGTGACACAGTCGTATGTGTGCAGTACTGCAGACAGTGTAGACAGTGTAGTTAGCGATCTCGGCATTGTTTGAGATAGGGGCGAGCCACGTGACATTCGACACAAGGAGGAGTGAGAGGACGAAGATATGTTTGTGCTGTCTACCTGCCTGGTACATCTGAGGAAGGAAGAGAGAGAGGGAGATGAGCGAGACCACTAGATTGAGGAAGACAGATGTAGTCTTGTGGAGTTGGGATGAACTCACCTCTCACATACCAAGATGCTTGGAAATGAACATTGATGGCGGTCTCGCTCCTCATTAACAGCGTGCAAGTATACACCGACGACCTGTGTTCTGGCTGAGTTTCAGTAATATCAAACCCCAGTCTTCGTTGCACCAGCCATAGTAGTCACGACTGTCGCAGTGTCTTCCCGGGACCTTTGACAGTGTGTATGATGTTAGTAGCCATAGTGTGTTAGAGCCAGCAGCTGATTGCACTCCAAACTGTCGTGTCTCTCCGTCATTGATTGTCAAAACAACATTACTGGGAATCGCACACCACTGGACCAGCGAATTAATAACATACTACAGTAGTAACTACGGACAGGTGGCACTCTTCTGCACATACACACCTTAAAACGCGGACCTGGCGGAGGCAACTATTGGTCGAATTTAACTTGAATGAAAATTTGACATTTGAACAGTCACACAAAATTAATGTAGTCTGGTGGTCTTCTCAAGCAACGAGAAACGTCCTCCCTGTCTACCTCTCTTCTCAGTATACCCAACTGCACGCATTATGGACACACAAGACTTACAGATGACAGTCACACTGACAGCTTTTGCTTAGTATATTATAATCTCTCTCCATATTCTCCTATATAGTACATACATCAACACACTGTGTACATTTGTGGCGGGGGCTCATTGTGAGACCTACAGCCACTGAAGCACACAAAGACTGTCACCTCAAATGAGAGGGTTTGGACCAGAAAAGAAGGAGAAAATACGAGTCTAACTGAGCAGGCAAAACACAGTGTAGCTCAGCACAGAAGCTCATATGTACAGAGATAATAGCTGGCATGTTTCTTGCACAAGAGACCAGGTTTGTGCATTCTCTGCATACCCATGAACAGTACAACACAGAATTATACACGTGGATTGCTAATGTACCTGTCAGAGGCTGTGGTTTACGCAGAAAGGGTGGCGATAACATTTTCAATCTACGATTCACGATAGCTGCAACTAAAAACTTCTGAGTTGCAGATAATGGTTTCCTATGTGATAAGGTAATCATCGACTATCAGAGATGTGGGTAGAGTGGTGATGGTCACAAGAGAGTGGGCTAGCATCCAGTAAGTGAGTAATACTACCACAGCAGACTCGCTCTCACACATACACACAGATGAAGACAGATGTGTTATACCTACAAGACACATACACCAACTCTTCCCCACAAGAACCTCTGGTTCCAGCCCTGATCCTCTGGCTGTACGCGACTATGGATGGATACGGCATGTACAGAGCTCAGCCGCATTACACACGCGTGCTGGTAATCTCCCGCAGCATCCACTGTAGTCCCAACACAGCTACAAATATTTTTAATACGGGCACGCATCAACACACACATGTACAGCCAGAGATCCCCGGCACTTCTCCAGTTCACCGTGCGGTGAGTCGTATCGTGCTGTGCGCGAGTCGTATCGCTGCTGCTAGTTCTGCTGAGTCTCCACCTCCTCCTGAGCCAACGCTGGCAGCCCTAGCGGAGCAGTGCAGCCAACATGCAACACGGCCAAAAAAGAGTAACAACCGCGCGCCATCATCCCCTTCCACGGTACACGAGTGATCAGTCACAGGAACTCGATCTTGTTCAGTCCGGCGATAGCTCTCCTTTCATACACTGTACCGATGAGCAAAGCAAGCACCTTTTGGGTTCTTTCCACGCGCGTGCGCAGCACGGGGGTTTTGCGCATGCGTGAAAGAGACCTCTTCCGCGAAGTAAAAATCTACATACCGACTCCTATACAACTAGCTACTACACAACGTGCATGTCCATAAAATCATCACTTGAGAAAGAAGGAAGAGACATCAGTCCATCATCCTCTTCCCAATCGACCTTCATACAAATCCCCAAAGGAAAACATTTAGATCTGGCACTAGCATACCTGATGAGTCTGTGAAGGTGTCTTTTGGTTTTTTTCAACACCTTTTCCCCCACCCTCCTCACCACCACTCACCTCCTCCTCCTCCCTCCCAGTGGCTTCGTTGCACCAGCAGCATGCTGCATGCCGGTTGCCTGGTGGACCACGACTGACGAGCTGAAAGCGTAAGGTAAGTACCGTTCTGCTCACCTGCTCACCGTTCTGCCAATGTACAATACGCATGTAACGGCGACAGGTAGATCTGTCTTGCTTCACGAAAGGAAAGCTGTGTGCTGACGGCACGTTATGCAGCCCAAACATCGCGGGCAAATCCCAAGTTGGGTCGCTCCCGCTCGCCAACAATGTTCAACATTTCCACTAGTATATGACGTATATAAATCGCGCCGTTTAGACCACTATTACAGCTCCCACTCGCCAATGAGGAAAATTCCGCGCCGTTCGTACCACTAATAGGTTGGCTCGCTCCCACTCGCCAATTATCATTCATTGCAGTGACTGTAGAGCTGTGTTTCTGAGTGACACATGTCTGAAACTCACCTCCTCCCTCAGTAGAGCGAGTGAAGGTGGTGGAAGAGTTCCCAGCAGGGTTGACTACTGTAACAGTGATGTCATAGCTAGTTCCACTCCTTAGCTTGTCGATAGTGTAGCTGTTCTGGTCTGTAGGGAGTCGTCCACTAGTCCCTCCCTCAGCATTGTCACCAGTCCTGCACTGGACACTGTTGCTGCTCCTATACTGGCTGCTATGGCTGTGATACTGGCAGGAGACAGAAAGAGGATTATCTGGAGGATTTTTTGGCATATCATATTGCATAGCATGATGCTCTGTATCAACAAACAACATTCATATGGCATCGTTTAAGTTGCTAGGCCCACCTTCTCCAACAATGAATGCTATGCAACATTACCCATGTAGTCAGGTATAGTACACCCCAGGGAATGCATCAACATGTACATAAAGTGGACACATACATCTCCTGGGGTCTCTCCTTACGAAACGAATAGAATTCCAAGAACAATAGTTGCGTAATAATTACAAGGTCATTAGACTGGAAAATTGTATTATACAAGCTTTGCAATACATTTTCCCTCCCACACAAGGAACCATTTTGTGATGCGAGTGTGTGATTATCTCATGTCACAATCGAATTTTAAAGATTACGTAATTTGCACACGGTAGGCTCACGTAACATTGCGTAGCTCCACATTTGATCCACAAATATTGTCACAAACATGGCCTTGGATAATATACTGTAGCCAGTTGCTAATTTGGGCAAACTTTATTTGGGTAAGGAGGGGTTAGACTGTGCAATGACGTGACCAATAGCCTACCAGATAATGAGAAGTGTGGCAAAATTCATGTTTACTCCCTCGACTTGAGCTATGAACACAACGGCTACAGCCTCGTAGAGAGCTGTGCCGTCCATGTTGATGGTAGCTCCAACAGGGAGCATGAATCTCGTGACTCTGGAGTCAACTCCAGCTTTCTCTTCCAGACACTGGATCGTGACTGGTAGAGCTGCAGAACTAGACACAGAGAGAAGGGGGGGGAGGAGGAAAGGAGAGAGAGAAGGGTGAGGAGGGAAAGACACGGAAAGAAAAAGGAGAAAGGAAGACAGGCTCATAATACCAACCATGAAAAGGCTTTGAGTAGAGCAAAGGAGGATAGGGATATCGAGAAAGAACCGTTGAATAAGCACAGAAAGGAAAACAATTTACAAACCTCGAAGATGTCCCGAAAGCAGTCAGGAGAGCCTGTGCAGTGTGCCTCACCAACTTGATTGGGTTCGACCTCGTCAGTACCAGAAACAACAGGGGCAAGGTGATGCAGCCGTGTATGAACAGCCCCAGCAGAACGGTGACCATATAGAGTCCAATCTGCTGAACCAGACCCACGAAATCTTCCACTTTCAGTAATTCACCCATGATTATGGAGGCAATTCCAACGGGCGAAAACCTGCAATGAAGAAAAACGAAAACTACTGAGTTAGAAACTAGTGATTTTGCAAGTGCAATTATTTGTCACGGATCAGCAGGTTTCAATTTCACACACTGTTAGACATATCTGTGACAATTCCGCCCCTTTAATATAATATAATCATGGCACCAATAGTACAATCTATAATGGTGTAATGAGAGAGGCCCACTCACCACATGACGAGTCTGACAATTGACATGATGACCTCGTTGAGTGTTGCAATTGCCTCCACGACGGGTCTGCCCCTCTCCCCCTGCCGCGAGAGGAACATGGAGAACGCCACCGTGAACACAATGATCCCGAGCACGTTTGTTCCTTCCCTAGTCCCCAGCTCCACTCGACGCTCCGTCCTGGTGGCATTACTGCAGTCGAGATCCAGAGATTCGACAGTCTCCACTGCAGCTGAGCAGTTGGTGAAGGTCTCGTTGTTCAGTGAGAGGCATTTGCTCCAGGAGGTGACCGTCTCCTCGGTGTAGACAGTCTGCGTCTGTTTAAACATGGCCACTATCAGGTTGTCAGGGAAACAGGTTCCTGGGCGAAAAGGAATGGTGAAGGTTTTAGTTCCGCCGTTTGAGGATGACATACAATGGATCTGTCATCCCTGGTCTAGAAGGTAATGGGTAAACATGAGGCTCCCTTAGCATTAAGTTGTGGTTTAGTATATTATAGGCAATTAAGTAATCACTGCAAACAGTCACCAGAAACACCAAGCCATGAAGCCTCATCAAATCTTTTGCAGGCATCGGCCCCCACAGGCCGCTATCTATGCAAAAACTGCAATATGTACAGATTGTTAACCTCAGAAGGTCGAGAACAGCTAGGTACGTATAATGTACGTGTTGGAGAGAGAAGCCCCACCTTTTTTTGTTGCAGCATGTGATTTAGGGGCGGGGCTAAGTTCGGTGGGGGTCTCGGGTGCGCATGAGCTCTTGTCAAATAAATGACGAATAAATTTGGATGTGTGCGAATCAGAGTTAGAGAGACAACTCCTGGTGCACTCTACTTGACTCTTTGACTACCATGGACCCCACCTTCTTCAGTCATGTGTTATGCTTCCTACATGTTTTGTAACTTGTCTGTATACATGTCATGCCCGGGCGGGCCATTCAAACATGAACTTTGAGGGCACGTGGTCGGGGCAGTTTGCTCGCTCGTCGCCAGGTGGAAGCTCATCTCTGGCGTGCTCGTTTTTTCTTTCTTTTTCTCTCCATCCCTTCGGGGGTGTGATCAGGACTGGGTTTGGGCAGGGGTGGAGCCGGAAATGGAATGACTCCACCTCCAGTAAGAGGGAAATCCCCTTTACCACGCCCCTCTCGAGCAGCAGAGCCCAGTCCTTTGGCCAGCATCCCTAATGAGGGCTTAGGCCTTCATGCTAAGGGATGAAGGGGGTTGGGTGAGGGCTGGGTTGTCTTATCGGTGAGGTGAGTTAATGGTTGGACGTCGGTCTCTCATGGCGTTCTAAACGCTCTCCTCGGCTCTGGTCAATACCAAAGCGTTTTGGTGTTTAGTCAATGTTTGTGTGGGTCTTACAATCGACTGAGGTTCGACCTCATCTCCTCCCCTGCCCTCGTGCCCGGTGGTGTGCTCCGTTTTTCAGCTGCTAGATCTGTCCACGTGGGAGGCAAGTCAAATACGGTCGCATCCATGGTCGTACTTATTCTACTCCCATGGTGAGAAGGGTAGCCTCTTGGGGCTGATTGCCGACAGCTGGTATTCTGTGGCTCAGATCTCCGTGGAGTGGTTGTGGGAGTGGGTGTGGTCACTCGTGCCTCTAATAAAGTGTCCGTCCACATTCTGTCTTATGCGACTTCAACTACCACCAATGATGGTGCACAGTGATCTACAACACATCGACTGGGGACAGTGCTAGTTCTGTATTGTACACTATTTCGCTCCCTACACGTTTTTGTCTGATTTGTATGTATGTACCTGCCATGCCCTAGTGGGTCCGTGCATGATTGATGAGTAGTGGTGGGCTGAGAGGTTGTGGGGGGGGGAAGGTTTTGTGGTACTTCATAATCATCTTCAGCTGTCCTTCCAGTCCCTCTCACTGCCTCATTACTGGTGGTCTGGATCTCTGGAGTGAGGCCATCAGTGGTATAGAAATCAGCTCACAGTGTTTCATAATATGGGGAAACTTACGCATATGTTGGCTCTGAGAACTTGGAGAGCTCAACTGATTGATTTTGTAGCTCCAACTTTAGCTCTGTATCAAATCCAATGGTTCTTATACTAATGTAAGAGTGTATGATGTACCTCGTTTTAGCAGAGTAATTTCCACTGCACTTCTCAGCACTAGAATCACTATCACTATGACTGTCAGTGAAATAACGATTATAAGAACCACAGCCACAGCAACTGCTCCACCAATAATGGCAGAAGTGTTATCTGTACTTGAACTCTCTGTCTGAGTGGCTGGAACAAACAAAAAGAGTTATACAAAGGTTAACAATGAAGCAAACTCTCATTTACCACCAGTGGAGAAAAGTATGGGAGTGCTGTCAGTGGTTCCAGCTACATTAGTGGCTGATACAGTGAGTGTGTAGTTAGTGGAGGAGTCCAACTGGAGGATGGTGTAGGTAGTGCCAGACAGAGGACCACTGGTGCTCTCAGTGCCTCTGTCAGTGGGTCTCCAGACCACCTCCCAACTGGCCACCCACTCACTGGACACACTCCAGGAGAGGGAGATGGAGGTGGCTGTTACGGAGCTCACCAACACAAACACCTGCCCTGGAACTGGGACTGCATGGAATAGGGGATTACATTTAGAATTTAGATGGAATAGACAAAACATAGTAACTGTAAGTAAGTGCATGAGTTAGTTAGTGGGAAGTAGAACCTGAAATGTAACTTTCAATTTGTAGTATTGAGGAAATCAGGCTTAGTTTTGACCTGACCTTTTTGGCTGTAGTGACACTAACTACTGCCAATATTGAGTGGATTACATGATCAACTTTATTGCCCATACAATATCACTACCACTATGATTGTTAGTGAAGTAGTGATCATAAAGGCAACAGCCACAGCAACTACTCCACCAATAATGGCAGAAGTGTTGTCACATTCACAGCTACTACTCTCTGCCTGGTTGGCATCAATCACTGGAAATGTAAAACTATCATTACCGCCATGACAGCACTCCCATAGTTTTCTCCACTGGTGGCAATAATATTCAATGAAAAGCACTAAAGTGCAAACCCTCGGCGAACTGCGCATGCGTGGTACCGCTAATTGATGGGTTGGGCTATTAGTAGCATGCGTTTACTCGCAGGAGTAGCTCGCAGAGAGTCTGACACAGGCTAGCTACAGTAGTAGATAGCATGCGGGAGTCGATATACGCCCTTCGTTGTGACTTCTTGTGCCTCCAAGGTACACAGAGCAAGCGGACCCAGTCGAGGTAAGCCTGTGCTAATTTGCATATTGGCTGGTTTTCATGCCATAACTTCTGAACGCGGCACTTTTACCATTTTAAAAATGAAGCCAGTGTAGCACTGAACCCGTTGGTGTCACTATTTTACCTGTTTGTTGCGCGTGGTGGCAGAAAACGTGGTAACAGACAGACAGACAGACGGACAAACCAAGTACTGTAACCCCCGCTGCGCCGAGGGTTAATAATGGAGAGAATCAAGGGGGAAAGAGGAACACACTGTGGGACCTCTATCAAGAGAAACACCCGAAATATGATCACCTCTCCAACAGAGACATCTTTGTTTCCCCAGAGTAAAGTAAATCCCTAGGGCCTCACTAATACAGATGCTGCCCCTCCCTCTGGTGTGGTGTTCAGAGCGTCACCACTCTACTACAATATTATAGTACATTGTGCTAGTTAAAACCCTCTTTCACCGTGCTCTGCATGGACACTATGAATAATTTTAGACACTGCGCTGCTCACCAACTGGAGGTGGGACAGGTTCGCTATCACTAAATCTTGTTGCATCCTGGATAAGAAGAACATACAGTTAGTGAAAGTCCATGTATTACACATGTACTGGCACCTACTTGACTGCTGTAGAGTCGAACGAAGAAGTAATAGTTGGCTCCAAGACTGACACGTCGGTTGTCATAGTTCACTTGCTGGCCGTTAGCTAGAGTCACGTCTCCAGGGACGCCGGTGCCTACCGTGATCTGCTGCGACAGACCCGAGCTGGCCCGTCCAGCAAAGGTAACGTATGAGGTGTCGGTTTGCTCCGAGAGTATGACTGACGTGTCAGGAAGCTGGCCAGTGATGACTGCATACACCTCATAGTGGCTGTGGCAGGAGGTATGCAAAGATCACTGGCAGTTTTATTGTACGTATGAGAGTGGAACTGTGACACAGGCTGAGTAAACCCATTCCACACAGCCACACACACAGAAACACAAGTGCGCAA